TGCTTCTTTTTCTGGTAATTGTCAAAGAACTTTCCAACACTGATATAACCTCTTACACTGGTTCCCCCTCCTTACTGACAGGATATGTGTTAGAAGACCCCCCCCCCCACTGGATGCCTGAACCAGAAAATAACACAAAACCCAATTTTGCATTGCTTTGTCTGATACTCATGTACATGCCTTTGACAAAATTATATTTAAGTTAGGCACATAACACATTAAAACTGAACCGTTATGAGAGTTTATTGAAATAAAAATTTTGTAAATATGGCCTACCTGTCAGCATGCCGTCTTTCTTGTGACAATATGAAATGACGCAGTGGCTGCATGACGAGGTGGACGACACAGGAGGCGGGCACAGTGATCCCAATCCCGAGCTCTGCAGTCCTGCGACAGGTGACCCGACGTGGCGGGCAGCTGCTGAGTGACTGGGCGGCGGGGGCGTGTGCAGCACAGCCACCCCGACAGGATGAGCAGTTTGGGTTTACCAGACTCTTCACAAGGTCTTGCCATTTAGAACTTTTTTTTTTTTTAATTTCTGCAAGTTTCCACTTAATAGTTTTGAACCACAGTTGTCTGCAGGTAAATGAAAGCCTGACTCATGAAACCACAGATAAGGGAAACTGTGTCATTGGCTTTATCCAATCATAAAGCATCGTGGCCGGCACCAGGCGGATTACTGAGAATGGTTTCTAGTAAGATACATTTACAGTTAGTTTTTAGGGCATATCCAAGTATGAATGCTCAGTCAGGATTGTGCTGAGAATACTGAATGTGTGATGATGCCACCAAATAGATAGCAGGCTGGTATCACCGGATTTCCAGCTCTTAGGAATTGCTTTGTTTGTTCTGGAATTATCTAAAATTTTAAATGGCTCAGTGGGCAAGCCTCTTAGATACAATGACAAAATATGACAGAGTCCCTTTCTTTTTATCACCTTTTCTTCCTTTCTCCTTTTCCTGTGTTGGGTGGTGTGTGTGTGTGTGTGTGTGTGTGTGTGTGTGTGTGTGTGTGTGTGTTGGGTGTGGTGTGTGTGTGTTTTAAGTTTCCAGCTTATATTCTGGAACTGACATAGTCCTGACCTACTCACTTAAGCCCTATGGAAGTGCCCAGTACACCCCCGCACGCGCTAGAGCCTAAGGTACGTACAGCTTCTATGTGACGTAATCCTTGCCTTCTGGCAGTGTGTAGTCAAAAGGCTTGTTCTTCCATGGCAGCAGTGGGATGGAACCTTCTACAGAGGCTCAGATGGCAGAATTGTTTTTTCACTTGTGCTGAAGAATTCATGCTTAGTTTTCTTGGGTTAAGAAATGTGAGCTAAGAAAAAGGGTTAGCCCTCCCTCCGTAGTGATGGTTAGTTGAAGCTAGATAAGAGACCGTCTGGAAGGGAGATAAAGTAAAAATAAGAAGACAGATGTCACAAGTCTTAAAAAAAAAAAAAAATAAGAAAGCCCACACTTGGGAGCAAGGAAAGAAAAACAAGCCAGTCCAGGAGGAGACAGATGAATCAGAGAGGTAAGCAAAACATCCACGAAAGGTGGCACAGGGAGTTGAGCCACTGCCTGAACACTGGCATCCTTCCTGGATGTCAGTTCGATTCCCAGCTGCTACACTTCTGATTCAGCTCCCTGCTGATCTGCCTGGGAAAGCTGAGTAAGAAGACCCTGATGCTTATGTCCCTGAACTCGCATGAGGCCACGAAGAAACTCCTGGATCCACTGTTGCCATCTGTGGAGTGAACCAGTGGATCTAAGATTTGCCCCTACTCTCACACCAGAATCCCATATGGGTACCAGTTTGTATCCCGGCAGCCTGGCTTCCCATCCAGCTCCCTGCTTGTGGCCTGGGAAGGCAGTAGAGGATGGCCCAAAGCCTTGGGATCCTGCACCCACGTGGGAGACCTGGAAGAATCTCCAGGCTCCAGGCTTCGGATTGGCTCAGCTCCATCCATTGCAGCCATTTTTGGGGAGTGAATCAATGGACAGAAAATCTTCTCTTCTGTCTCTCTTCCTCTCTTTTATCTGACTTTCCAACAATCTTTTCTTTAAAAAAAGGTCTATAAAAGTATATTAGTACTTAAGCAAACAGTTTTTGAAAGGGGTGCTGGCAAACATCTTTTCTAAGAGATATTCAGTATCCTTCATATAACAGTCTTCAAGAAAAGTTTATAGGTCCCAGCACAGTAGCCTAGTGCCTAAAGCCCTCATCTTGCATACACAGGGATCCCATATGGGCACCAGTTCATATCCCAGCTGCTCCATTTCTCTTCCAGATCCCTGACTTTGGCCTGGGAAAGCAGTTAAGGGTTGTCCAAAACCTTGGCATCCTGTACCTACGTGAAACCTGGAAGAAGCTCCTAGCTTCAGAATGGTTCAGCCCTGGCCATTGAGGCCACTTGAGGAGTGAACCAGTGGATAGAAGTTCTTCCTCTCAATCTCCTTCTCTCAGGAAATACTGGAGTTGCAGGTGGTGACTTAACCCACTGTACCACAACACCAAGCCCCCAGTGACTGGATTTACCTTTTTTTTGTAGTGAGTTTTTTTTTTTTTTCCAGTTTTTGAGATGTAGAGTTACAGAATGAGTGAGAGACAGAGAGAGATTTTCCATATGGCTACAATGGCCAGAGGTAAGCCATTCTAAGACAAGAACCTTCTAGGTCGCCCACATGGCTGCAGGGGCCCAAGGACTTGGGCCAAATCCCAATGCTTCCCCCAGGCCATACGCAGGGAGGTGGATGGGAAGTAGAGCAGCCAGGACATGAGTTCCTGCTCAGAAGGGATTCTGGTGCCTCGGGCAGCAGTTCAGCCTACTATACCACAGCACCGGCCCCTAGAAGTACTTTTATTTACAGTTTCCACAAGCTTTCTGAAGAACACTTACAACTACTACTACTAATTGCCAGTAACATTATAACTTCTCACAGAATAATGGCTGCATGTGGGTGTGGTTATGGCTTACATAGTTTTTCCAGAGCAGGCGTGTCCTGACACTGCCAGTTAGCACGCCTGTGTCCCAGGCTGGAGGCTGAGCTTCCAGGCCCAGCTCCACTCCTGACTCCAGCTTCCTGCCAATGCAGAGCCCGAGAGGCATTGCTGAAGGAGTCCTAGGGGATTGGACTCCTGCCAGTCTTTGAGGGACCTGGATGGAGTTCCTATCAGCTTCGACTGGCCCGAAGGACATTGCCACCGGGGACATTTGGGTCGGGAACTGGCCAGCAGGTGAGAGCGCTCTTACTCTTGTTCCTTGTACCCGCCTCCCTTCTGTGTCTCTCAAATAATACAACATTTTTAAAGTACTTATTTTTCCGGGACTTGATAAAAATCTCAATGTGATCCGAGAAGAGCCAGGCTTCTGTAGTGGTAGCATTGACAGCAAAGCTCTTTAGCATGTGTCTTAGCTGTAAACTTCTGCCATGGGATAGACATGCTAATGGCTCAGCTTTTGAATCCCTAAATTGATATTTTCCCCTTCAAATCACCTTCCTGTGGACAGCAGGTGCATTAATGGTAGTGTAACTTTGGGGAGTCCCTTTAGGGAATTTCCTGTTTTTCCCTTTTATATTTCACACCCATTCCTTGCTCCCGCCGCCGCCATCTGCTATGTCTTTTCCCTGTTCAGCACTGGCTTCTTCACACCCCACTCCCACGCCCTCTCCATCTCTCTCCGTCTGTCCAACAGCCCTCTAGTTAGATTGCTCCAGTGCTTGTACATGGATTGGATCTGAGAATTTTCTCCTTTCTGTTGACTCAGTAAGCTCCAAGGAGAGAGGATTTACATCCAAGGCCTCCATGAACTTGACAAACAAAGTAATTGGGCAAAAGACAACATAGGCACGGATTGGAGGAGTGATTATTAAACTGGGCTCAGATGTTTCCATGAAAACTTGCCGAGCCGTAACATTTCTGGCACGTGCCTCGTGCATGTATCAAGGCAGAAATTATACAAGAAATTAAATATAGTTGCCCCGGTGTTTTTACAACCATCAGAAGGAAGACATCCATGTGCAAGTCAAACTAGAACACAATACTCGAGTACCATCAGCTGAATGGTACACTACCAAGCTTGTCATTGAATTTTAACACAGACGCCTCGTATTTAAAGTCTATGTAATAGCGGGAAACGCCTCAGCTCCCTCAGTGACCTTGTAGTGATGTGGAATGCATGCAAAGGTATACAATTTTACAGTAACCACGAAATGCATGCGGCCAACATCCCATAAATGTCATCTACCACCACTCTCACTCTTCTTTCTTAACATTAGTAAATGGAAGGTCTGAAAATATCAATACTTGCATATCTGAATATTTGCTCATTTTTCGCTCTGGCTGTTTTTAGGTGGTTTTATAGCTAACTTGAGGCTCTGAGCAGTTTTAAAGGAAGCTTTGCACAAATTACTGGCATTTACTAGCTAAAGTGAAATGGTAGAACTTAGAAAGTAACACTCCACACCCCCCTATTCTTAAAGAAAAAAAACAACTATACTCTGATTTGCAACAGGTTAACTGAGCAGGGACAAGTTCTCCTGGCTCACTGTCTTACCATCAGTTCAAACTCTACATCAAGGGTCCAGCGCGATGGGTTAAGATGATCTACAGTGCTATATGGGCACTAGTTCAAGTCCCAGCTACTCCATTTCCCATCTAGCCCCCTGCTAATGCACCTAGAAAAACAGCCGAAGATGGCCCAAGTGCTCGGAGCCCTGCACTCAGGCGGGAGACCCTGATGAAGCTCCTGACTCAGCCTGGCCCAGCCCTAGCTGTTGTGGCCATCTGGGGAGTGAACAAGCTGATAGAAGGTCTCTCTCTCTCTCTCTCTCTCTCTCTCTCTCTCTGTTTGTGTGTGTGTGTGTAACTCAACATTTCATATAATATCTTTATTTTTTTTTAAAAAAGGAAACTACTTGCAGGAAAAAGGAGAGAGTTGCAGAATGTAAATAGCAGGTACAGGTGTCCCTAGTAGCACACAGGTTTGGCTTTCCAATGCTGCTGTCTGTTCCAGGATGTAGAGGCGGCCGAGAAGTCCCTGCAGGCCAGGCTCCGCTCACCCCCGTGCCCTGAGCTGGTTTCTCTAGAGGTGAGTCTTATACAACAAACCGGGGAGACCCGATCCTACTCATAGGGCACTGTTAAGTTAAACAATGAGTACGTGTGTGTAGGTTTCACAGATTTATTTTTTCCCTGAACAATATGTATTTGATCCTTACAGATCCACAGTACCATGGTTTATACAAAGAAGCCAACTGAGAACATCTCGATTCAAAATTACTTTTTATCAAATAGAATTCTATGAAGATCGGTCTCCTTCCCTTGTCCCTTAAAGGAAGCAACTGTATTGTTGAACTGTGACAGATAATGGATTTAAATGTTAAAATGACAGCATGATGGACCAAAGTGCTTTTCCACTGAAAGTGTTAGAAGTAGCAGTTCAGTCCCCTTCAACCAGACTTAGCCAAAGCTATTTAAATACATATTATCATACAATATAGCATGAGTCTGGTCTGTTTTGTTTTGCTTAGCTGAAGAACAGATTGGGAAGACGGCTGGCAAAAAAAAAATAAACCATATTTAGTATATGAATGTATTTGTGATGAATGGGAATTTACTACCTATAGAAGAGTTGTATTTTATAGTTTCAGTGACCTTTTTCAAATAGCATGTTACTTTCCATCCAGCTGGGATATGAATAGACTCCAAAGCAAAGGCTGAGAGTTTGACCCTCAAATTTTCTGTGTCATCAAGGATAGTAAGGAAAGGCACTGATCAAGGACTGGTACAGAGTGGTGCCCTGGGCATGCCTTTTTCTTTGTTGAGTTTCCCAGTACCGTCCCCTGGCATGTCCGGGGCCCACACAACAGGGGTTAATTCAGCCGTGAATGTCAGAGAGACTCCCCAGCGCAGGCCTGCCTGGCATTTCTCTTAGCCAGCCCTGCACAGCAGGATGAGGTCCATTTTAAGCACTTCAGGCTGTTTTTCAGACCACATGCATAGTCAGAGACGCACAGAGACTCAGCATTGTTAACTTTCAGAACCACTGGACTTGCACTCCAGTGACTATTTGTTCCTATTGCTATCTAACTCGTTGGCCAGATTGCTCTAAATTGAGACTGATCGTGATGACAGACAGTGCCCCGCTGTGCCACAGAGCCAGGGCAGTGTGGTTCCCAGTGGCCTCCTGAAGGCAGTCACTCCAGAAAGCAGCAAAGCTCCTGGAGAGAGCATGGCTTCCGCAGCCTGCTGACCACCACACTCACAGCAGCACTGTGTCAGCTCAAACGCCACGCTATTTATAAATGTTTTCAGGGGTTAGGTTTCATTGAGTTTTATCATCAGGAAAATATTTCTGAGAAAAATTACAATCTCCCTTGGCAAGTATTCTTCTAAAAAGATAGATATGCATTTCACATACCACTAAGATACTACTTACATTTCAGTTCCTGAGCTCATCCCAGGTCAGCTGTTTGGATGCTAATTCTGAAGAATTCATTCCTGTTTGGTTAATGCCTTGTAAACTTTCAGAACAGGTAGTCATATGATCTGGAATTTGGAACATCAAACAAAAACATTTAATGATTATATAGCCATAAATAGTACTACTGGCACTAATCCCAAGGTTGGCCACAAGAGGGCGTGTAAAATCACAATAAAATTTTTAAAGCTGTATATCTGCCAGGCTCTGGTTTTACTGAGAAATTTGAAAATTAACACTAGTAAGTAGCCAGATTTTTTTTTTCTAAAATTAACATAAAATATTCTGTAGAGGAAATGCATTCTCTGTATGTGTGTGTGCATGTACACACATGCACGCACACACACACACACATACACACTTAAGTGAATAAACATTTAGACTATTATGGAGAGCCAAGTTCAATTGCTTGATATGCTTTTTTACTTTGGGTTGTTTTTTTTTTCTCCAGACTCGTTACTGGGCATCAGTAGAAGAATATATTCCCAAATGGAAACAGTTTCTTTTAGGCAAAGAACCATATCCTACTGGTGTTGAAAGTCCAAAAGAAGCAGAAAAAAACCTTTCAGCATGAAGCACAGCGATAACTCCTTCCGGTGCTGTTCCAGAGCGCTTGCTTCAGGAAGCTGCGTGTGAAGGCGTGTGTAGGTAACCCTGTTATCTTGAGGAGGTGACTGTTCTCCTGCTGTTCCTTACCTCCTTCGGGAATCTTCTGGGAAATCTCAGGTTATCACTTATTTTTCAAAGTCATGCAATGCCTTGTATTAAAACTGTGGGTGAAGAAAAACTGAGAGAAATATCATTCCCCTACTCCTGTTTTAAAATAATATTAATAATAATAATCCTGTACTGTGTTCATTAAGTGAACTTCAGATGAGCGTTGTGTTTTTAAGAAAAAAAATTAGAATTATTCTCATCTCCACCGTCATATGACCATCGTTTTAAGTTTTCCAGAATCTTGACTTTTCACTTGTTTTATTATGGAGACAAGATACCAAAGGAGTTACCTGCTTAATAACGTGGTCGCTCGTGGCAAGTGAAGACAGCGACCCTCTGTGGGCCTTCGTGTCCCGTTCATCACAGAGCCCCGAGATCAGTGCCTCTCACAGGAAGAGTCCTCCAAAAGTCCAGGTGGCAGCGGGCGCCAGGCTGTACCACATCTGCCAAGCAGTCGGTCTCCGGAGGGCACAGACTTGGTGCTGGAATCGGAGAGCTATTCAAAATAGGAACAGTTACTGGATTTCAACACAGTTACTTGGGATTGGCAACCAAGCAAATGCAAAGACACCTCATTCTCACCTTTTCACCTTTAAACTTGCCCCTTTCCCTCTGTTCAATCTGCATTCTTTCTGAAAACATCGTGGGGCTGAAAGCTCTGGGTCACCAGCCTCCAGGGCTCCGAGCTTCCTCAGCCTCCCACTGCTTGAGCAGTTGGGGAGGGGAAGGCGAGTCTCATTTCTAGCTGCAGAGGCGGCTTCTGTTGCTACAGGGCATCACGCTATATTCCAGTCCAATGTTTGAAGCCAGGTGGTTTGCGTTGTTCAGAGAAGACAATAGGACAAGCTAAACACAAACACCAGGAAAGCTACACTGCAACGCCCACTTGGGCTTCGAGTTCCGCTAAACCACTCTCTTGGAAATACCCTGTGGAGTGGGTGCTGGTGTGTGGAACAATAATGTTGTTTTCATAATATGTGCTGGCAGAGTAGCACACTTCTCTGCAGTGTTAACAGTTGTAATTAAGGCATAAACAGCACAGGGTGTCAGTCCGATGACAATTTCATCTATAGTGTCACGATACAAAATGTCACAAAATATTAGAACTGTTATATAACCATAAAAAAATATCAGCCTAAAAAGCTGAGAGCCTTTTAAAATGAGAAGACAGAGAAAGGAAACAAAAAGAAAACTGGCATAGCCACCAGACAATTTTATACCTTCTCCGGCATACTCTGTCTTGAAAATAAATTGATAATTTTTTTTTCCTGTTCCATTACAGTTTGGTTTCTAGCCATCCAGTTGATGTAGCAGGAGAATGCAGGATTTCTTAGCAGCTTTGAATTGGTAAACAGATTTAGATGGAGTAGAAAGGAACATGAGGAAGTTGTTTTTTTTTTTAACATCCAATCTTTCCCAGCATATGCACATAAAAAGGTGAATGAAGCAATGTGAAACTTATTTCTCTTTAGTCAAGTGGAAAAAAAAAAAGGCTAAACATTTGTTAGATGGTAAAATATTGTGTCAAGCAAGTAGGCACATTCCAAAATGAAACAGTGGTTGATACGTTAACGTCCTCAAATATTTGAGCGTACACTTCCTTTGAGATCTGTAAATTAAATCACCAGTAGGTTAGATTAAAATACAAAATGAATGGCAATTTCACCATCTCGGGGAAGATTAGATTTCTCCTTTCCCTAAATTGACTAATGCTAAGTCGTTTTTCAGAAAGCAGCATCCGTGTAATACATCCTGGGTTAAGATCTGGGGCAGAAGAGAAGGTATTTCTAGCTCTCAGCTCTACCACTTTTTCCTATTTTCGATAATACCTCAAAAACTCCCCAAGATCACTATATTCCTGGCCCCTGCCGAGCGCCCCCCTCCTCGTAGGCTATAACAGATTGCACCACATGGTGTCTGTTTAAAAAAAAAAATTCCCACAGGGACCTGGATATCCCGTTAAAAAGCTTTATATTTCTCATGGCAAATTAGTTTTACATAAGAATTTCTAAATAATGTTTTATGTGAAGAAGTAAGGAATAGTCTATATACTTTTTGCTACAATTAGTAAGACCCACACAGGAGAACGAAACATCACCTCCTGCAGCTTGATCCCTAATTCAGTGTCTTGGGGGGGGGGGCTCTGCTACGCTGCAGCTTCTCGACGCAAAGTAAATTTGTAGGGGGTGTGATAGTGAATTTTAATAGTTTTTAACAGTGGGTTTTGAAAATTAAAAAATTCAAAAGGCTTTCCTGAATTATTATTGCAAATGTCTGAATTTTGAATAAAGCTCGTTTCTATTCCAACACTTTTGGGATTTTGAAATTGTTAGACTGTAAAACGCTAAAGGAAAGATTACAAGGAGCTAGGTTCTCTCCAAGCTTGAAAAAAAGTAAAGAAACCGTCAGGAGTAAGAAGAAGGCCTAATATTCCAGAAAGACATCCTGTCTTTCTCGTTTGCGAGGAGTTTGCTCACTTCTTTTTATAGGTTACCCCTATTTTCTATCCATAATAATAATAATAGGTAAATGTGTGGCATCTTCTGAATCAAAATTAAATCCATAACATGGCCGTTAAGACACCAGTGACCCATATCAAAGTGTCTGGGCTCAATGCCCCACCGCAGGAGCCGTGCAGTGGTGTAGCAGATGAAGCTGCTGTGCCAAAATCCCATATGGGCACCAGTCCAAGTCCCAGCTGCTCCACTTCCCATCCAACTACCTGCTAATATGCCTGGAAGAGGAGCCTAAGCGCTTGGGTCCCTACACTCACAGGAGACTCACAAAAAGCTCCTAGCTCCTGGCCAGCCACTTGGGGAGTGGGCCAGCAGACAGACGATCTCTCAGTCCTCTCCAACTGCCCTAGAACTCCTCTCCCAACTGCAGCCACCTGCCAGTGCACACCTTGGGAGGAAGCCTGCCAGACCGGACGCCCTTGGGAAGGTTTAGGGAGGGAACTAGCGGAAGAGAACATGCACTCTCTCCTGCCCTCCTGTTTCTCTCCCTTCCCTCCATCCCTCTCCCTCTCAAATAAATATGTCAAAAAAACAAAATCATGTGTATGTTATGTGGCCACTTCTGAGGTAATGGAGACATGCATGAACATGTATGTGCACGCACGTGTGTCTATATCGACAGAGTTTCACCAAATTCAGAGGAAGATGTTCAGCTGTAAACTCACGGTGAGGGCTGCCATGAATTTGGCTTCACTACAAAATACGTTCTTTCCTTTCCCTTCCTCAGTCCATGCATTTTATCTTTTTATTCTAAATCGATTTACATCGTTTTACTTTATTTTTAAAACGCAAGTCTTATTTAAAGACAAATCTTTCAGGGCGGGTGTTTGGCACAGCAGTTCAGCTGCCAGTTGGGACGCCCACATCCCGTGTCAGATGCTGGAGTTCAGTTCCTGGCCCTGCTTCCTGCTGAGGTGCACCCTGGGAGGCAGCGGGTGAAGGCTTGAGTAGCTGGGTTCCTGCTGCCACCCACAGGGAAGACTCGTATGGAAATGCAGACCCCCTGCCTATTGTGGGCATTTACGGGGTATCTGTTTCCCTGTGTCTGGATTTTTAATAAATAAATAAATCATTTTTTAAAAGAGAAAAAGGAAAATCCCTAGAATTTTAATCCCTAGGAATTCCCCTATTGTTTCAAGAACTATAATGACTGCAGGGTCTTCAAGCGTCACTCTGCTTCTGAACTCAACCAAGCTAATGATACAGGAATATCACTTCTAAAGAGCTGCTGACCAAAATCAACTCCCCTGAAAAGGCAGTAACCAGGTGATGAATTCAAACAGGGAAGTCTTAAAAATACAGAAGAAAGGAGGAGACACATCACTTGGAAAAAGCTTCAAGCTGGAGTGAGCCCCTCCCCCACCCAGCAGTGCTTCTTGTTTTGTCTCTCTCATGACCTAGAAGGTAATCAGTGCTCACAGGAAATTCAATTCCCTTCTGTTAATAAAAAGAGTGTTTAGAATTTTTCCGAGACCATCCCGGGGCCATGTCAAGCCTTGGCAGTTAAGGAGAGGATTGGTTTGGGGTTTTGACACCAGGCATTGTGACTTGCGTTTCAAACAGGAACTGAGATTACACACTTACGAAAAAGGAGAACCACTCCTACAAAGCCCGAGGAGAAAATGCTTCCGGGCCTCACCTTGCCTCACAGGGTCAAGTTTCCCCACTTGGAGGAAGATCAGGATCCCCTTAGTTCTTACAATACTTTCAAGTCCTTGCTATGATAAAAACATGTAAGCTCGTGCCTCAGATAGACACGGGGATTCTGCTACTCTCAGAACCAACAAGAAGCGCTGATGCTGACTGCATCAAGATGAAACAAATGCTCTTATTTTAGAAGGTGATGAGTTTGCTCGCTTCTTTTTGTAACTGATTAACCTCCATGTGAAAGCCAAGCAATTTTTACTTATTATTCCTCTAGTTTAGGTTATCAGAATAGAAATTTTTTTAATGTTTCACAAAGCTTCGTTTGAGGAGTAATCAAATTAAAAAGAAACAAAATACCACTCATTTTTGTCTAATTTATCTCAATCTTATTTCATCTCCAATATCAGTTGTTTTCCACACCTTACTTCTAGCCATCGGTAAGGATATATCATTTATAAACATTTCTTTGTATTACAATGCTCTACCCAAGGAAACAAAGGTCGACAGAGATGAATCTAGAGCCCCTGAAAAGGGTATCAAAGTGACGCTTGGTGCAATGGCTCAATTGGCTAATCCTCCCCTTGCAAACACCAGGATCCTTTATGCATGCTAATTCATCCCCAGCTATTCCACTCCCATCCAGCTCCCTGCTTATGGTCCAGTAAAGCAGTACAGGATGGTCCAAAACCTTGGGACCCTGATCCTGCATGGGAGATCCTGAAAAAGCTCCTGGCTCCTCCTGACTTCGAATCAGCTTAGCTCAAGCTATTATGGCTCTTTGGGGAATGAACCAGCAGATAGAAGATTTTTCTCTCTGCTGATCCTTCTTTTTGTAAATCTGCCTTTCCAATAAAAAAAATAAATCCTTGCAAAGCAAAGAGGTATCAAGTTGGAGTCAGCACTGTGGCATTGCCTGAGATGCTAGCACCTCATCTGAGCACAGGTTCAAGACCTGCATGCTCTATTTCCAACCCAGCTCCCTGTTTAACACTAGAGAAGGCAGGTATCTGAGCCTCTGCCACTCTTGTGGAGGACTCCTTACTCCCAGGCTCCTGACTTCAGCCTAGTGCAGCCCCAGCTTCCCCAGCTGCCCCAGCCTTTCAAATAAATACATAGGGGCTACAATCATGGCACAGCTGGTTAAGCCACTTCTGTCCTGCCACCATCCCATATGGCTGCCAGTTCAAATCCTGGCCGATCCACTTTCCATCCTACTCTCTGCTAAGGCACCTGGAAAAGCAGTGGAACATGGGCTATGACTACCTGCCTGAGAAAGCCAGGTGAATCTGCTGGTGGCCTGGTCCAGCCCTAGCCATGGTGACCATTTGGGGAGTGAACCAATAGATGAAAGATTTCTCTGCATGTGTCTTCCCGCTCCCTAACTTTGATTTTCAAGTAAGTAAATAGATAGATACACACATAAATAAGTAAATCTTTAATGGTGCATGTAGACC